CTGTTGGTCATAAAGGACATTGCTTGAACTGCACAGACCTTGAATGCACATCTCAACCTTATTTACATAATCATTATTAGGCTTACTATTTTTGGTTGTCTGAAGAGGTTGTTTTATTGTGGGAATCATTCATTTCTCACAGGTATTTTCTGAGTTCGTACAACTGGCAGTTATTCCTACATTCTGGAAGAAACACTCTGTCAATGAGGAATGAGCTTTCCTGTTCTCTTTAAAAAAAAAAAAAAAGACACCACTCTTCAAACTAATCTAAAGCCAGTTTTCTTTCTAATTAGAACCCTGGCTCTGGGGAGGCCTGTATTGGTAACACTTTCAGAAGTTAATGAAGCTGTTCTAGAAACAATTAAACCTTCCATGTATAAAACAGGTATTGCTAATGGAAAAAAAGGTCTTCTTGGGATCAGATAGAGTATCCTCTTTTTCACCAGTGAAAGGTGTCCTCAGAATTAAAATCTATATGTATAAGGCTAAGACTGGAGGAATAATACACACTGTGCTTTAATATTTCTAGAAAGGCTGGCAGATATTAATTATACTTGTCTACAATTCAGTTAAGGCTTTTCTTAGTCTCAGCATTCACAATGCAGGGTAATAAATGGCCAAGTGTAACAAAGGAAACACAGTAACAAGAAAGAGACACTAGATCCACTGTTTGCTTGGCAGTGAGGTGAAGCAGTCAAACAGAAACAATTATTTTAAAAAACCTCAGAGAAGTGTGTGTGTATATATGTTTTCCCAGAACACAGACTAGGACATCAAGGAGATTTCAGCTTAAATAGCAGTGAAATCAATGCAGCTGCTCCACGGACCTTGACATACCTTGATTTAGGCTTAGGAGTGCCTGGGTCACTGTCCCCTTCCTAGCCAGTGAAATTTGAAATTATTTTAAAGTTTGTCCAGTGATACTTTTCTTTCCCAGATGACTCTGTAAAGGCAATGACACGTGTTAGCACAGAACAAGGTACTGCAAATTATCCAGAATTTTGCTGCAAATAGCATAGGGGTTAAGATTCCTTGGCATAAAAAAAAATGAAAAAATAAATAGTGCATGAAATTAAGTTTTTTCTAACTTATGTACAACATATTATCAAAATAGTAACAATTATTTCTGTAAGTAGAAACACAAGATAGTCTTCATCATGGTAGGTCAAAACTTATAGAAGTACTACCAACCTGAAATCAGATTATCTTCATAAAATTAAAGGTGCATCATATTTATTCTGCATATCTTCATTAGTTTTTATTGGTTTAAAATCAGTAATCCTTAAAAAAGACCAACCAAAAGAACAACTAAAAGAACAAAACCCCCCAATTCTTCTCTAAATGACTGAATCACAACAAATGGAAAGTAGTAAATGGCAACAATGAAAGAAAAGTACACAGAGAGTTCTGTCAGAAATATAAAGCAACATATTTCCTTCACAATATTTTTCTTATAAGGCATAACGCTAGGTAAGCCTCTAGTTATGGATGTTTACCGATTTACAACTAGAAGTACGATTGAAATCTGGGAGAAACCAACATGAAAATGACATCTTCTGATGTAGCAGCACCTGATGTAATGAGAGAAACAGAACAATCTGTGTTAACTACTTCTAATCTAAACTATTGTCTAAATGCTATTTTGGTATAAGAGAAGTAATTTCTGAATTAATAAGTAAATTTCCTTTGCATTCTTAAAGTTTTAGATTTTTAAGGTGTTTTCTGGCTATTTAAAGGCATTCAGTTTATCAGTGTTTATTTTTTCTCCAGTTCCTATAATCCCAGGCAATCTGAATCTTGCTCTTTCTTGGCTTTTGTTGGTGTTTTTTTTGTTTGTTTGTTTGTTTGTTTTTTCTGTAACAGGAAAATCTCCAATAAATTTTAATTTACTGCCCATTGTGGACAGCATATTTAACAGAACTTCAACTTCATGCTCAAGAGCTGCGAATTTATTTTTCCCAAGTAGATTAAATTTCACTTATTTCTTGTCTAAATGCCTTTTCCTACCACAAGACATGCCAGGCAGCCTGTTCTGCAGTAGTGCTGTACTCATTGCAGCAGCAGATGGTAACAAGCATTTCAAGGGTTAGGACTTGCTTCAGACTTTTGGTCTTGCTCTCCATGCTCTGGTACTATCAGCAAGATGCACAATTTAGCATTTAGAAGAAAAACAATCCACAAACAAAGAGTCACAACCTTCTGTGGATCAGTTAGCACAATCCAACTAGCCTGCTAAGTCAGATTTGACTTTCTGTTCGCTGTGACAACACCCTGCATGGTTGATTTTATTAAAAGTAGCTATTTCATCAGCTCCACATAAAAGAAGGCAATGGAGAACTCGACTCTGTCCGTGCATATCCCATATCCTGAGTGTGACACAGCAGCATCTACCTCACTAGGTATTCAAAATGCTGATCAGCCACAAGAGTGTGTGTGTAGGAACGCGGATAAAATAACCTCCCGGTTTTCAGGCATATTTTAGCTTCTATTTCAACTGGCACAAATTGCACTATTTAAAGTAGTAATGCACTTTTCAGTCGCCTTCTGAACAAAGCACTGTCTTTTTTTCTCAAAAGACCTCATAGTGGTTGAATTCAGCTAGAACAATGAAGCAACTGTAAGAATGTAAAAAGGACTTCATTGGTGTTAAATGGGAGATGAACTTCATGCACTTTTATAAGTTTGAATACTTGTGGGCCTAACACCTCCCTTTCACAAGAAATGCTAAAATGCAAAGTAATTTTATTCTTTTAATCAAAAACCAGATAATCTGTAAGTGTGCAGGGTCTTATGATCAGACATTATAATTTTATTTACTGAAGTTCTGGTGTAGTAACATTATAATCTGTTTGATCTTCTGAACTGTTGTGCCTTATCTCTTGTTCCAGTAAAGAAAAAATGAGACCAAATACTCACATTATAATTTTACATCTCTATAAATCAATCCTTTAACAACATTACAAAATTGACACATTTCTGTGTCAAATTTCATATTTAAAAATAAATATCTGGTTTATAAAATTTTTAAATAATAGGACTATTGAAGCTTTGAGATTTTTACCTAATGAAACGATCATTAAAAAAAAAAGTTCTATGCTTGACATTACTATAGGTTTTGCTTTTTTGTTTGTTTCTTTAACATGCGAATAGACATCTCACTCCAGAACCTGTGTAGTTTCTAGAGAAACCTTCCTCCGGGCTGAATGACATCTGAAGTGCAAATATTTGCATCTAATTTCTTCTACCTGTCCTTGGCACAAGTATCCTTCTGCACTGCTTGTTTACTCAATGTCCAAGGCAATTGCAACTTCAGGATTTTCAAGGACAAAGACTGATAGAGCAATTTTATTGTGACTATGAAAAAGATTACTTGCTTATAAACACAGTTTCTGAAAAAGTCTATCTTCATAGGTAGCCATTCCTCCTGTCCCCGTCAGGTTTTGTAACCTCGTGGTAAGCATTCTCAGCTGGAGCCTCTGACAAACATTGCTCTGGGTTTGGACAACTGTTGTCTTTTTGTGGGTAGGTCACCAACCTGACAGATACAGAGCAATTGGAAGCAAGACATTTTGTCTCAGTATGATGTTCTATCATTTGTCATGTATGGTAGCATATTAGATAATCCTAATAATCCATGCTGCTCTTAAACACTAAGAATTCTTGTGGGTTCTGAGAGTTCCCTGTTCTAAACAGAAGATAAGAACATTAAGAACCTCCAGAAATTGTTCAATATTATGTAGGATCCGACTCTGGCAAGTTAGTAGTTTTGAAAACATAGCATGAGGCTGGAAACTATGGAACTGCTGAAAATTATAGTAACAGAGAGGGGACAGCCTGATTTCTTAATAATGAAGCTGTATACACAGCCCTGCTTTGTCCTCCCTACAGCCCCAGAAATTCATTCATTGTGACTGTCACCAAAGCAGTTGCAATCCTTCCACAACATTATTACTTTAAGGCTAATCCTTTAGCTTCACATAGGAGAAAGGAGAAAATTAGTCAGTTCAGTACAGCTCATTTCTGGCATTGATTTGCTCATGAAAATAAGCACACAGACACCAATCTGTATGCAACCACAGCTATTCCAGAAAATCCTTCCTAAAAGAACTAAATTATTTTTACAGATAAGCAGAGTTGGGTTTTTCCCCCCTGCAAAATGCTCTCCTAGTTATCACAGTATGTCGAAATTTTCAGTTAGGAAACTAAAACTTTTGTGTTATCAGTGGCATATCCAACATCATGATTTACTTCAGTTCATCTGATATCATGCTTGACTAAAGCATCAGGAAAAGGGTGCTGCTGGTGGTAGAATAATAAGCTTGATGAACCAATACCTTAATCAAGTCTGCCAAATACTATCTTGCTATGAATAACCTGTTCCAGAGTTCACAATACTTTGGTACAGTATACTGCAAACCATAATTTTTGCCCAATAAAGAAACTTCTGCATGAGTTACAGCATTCAAGCAGCTGATGTAATGAGAGAAATTAGCATTCACGGTATCTTTTAGAGAACACTAAACTATTCCCTTATCATTCTAGAAGAAAGCAGTTAAGTCCTGATTACTAACCCAATTACTCATACTTTTGATTATTTACATTTCTACTCAAAGCACATGTATACTTTGCTTCATCTTCCATTCTAAGAATGGATCAATGCCTTTCTAAAATGGGATTGTATGCATATTTGTTCCTTTCTGTTCTCCTTGCATATTCCTGCTGGAATTTCAGGCACACTATACATCCATACACACAGTTTATCATATAGGACTCTGAGAATGCTGATGTATTGCAAAAATCCATTTGACACTGCTAATGAAGTACAATTATGAATTAAAAAAAAAGGCGTTGATGGTCGCTCTGTGCTCACGGGGAAAAAAAAAAAAAGAAATAACAAAAGGTGCGCTTATCACTCGACTCTCAGCAGCTGCCAGCACGAAAGGACACATCGCAGGGACACGCTCCTTACAAGCACACATGTAAGACAGAAGCCGTCATATTTATTCATTCCTGACGCGGTACCGGCGCTCGGAGTTGGGTCTTCCACCGCCGCCGGCGCCCGAGGCGGGGGCCGGGCCGGGCTGCTCCGCGCCCTTCCTGCACTTACCCGCGCCAGGCGGCGCTCGGGACCGGCGGCCAGGCGGCGGCGCGGGCTGGCTGTCACGGCGGCGCGGGGCCGGCGCTGCCCTCGCGGCCCGGGCTGGCTGTGACTGCGGCCGCGGCCCGGGCTGGCTGTCACGGCGGCGGGGCCCCCTCGGCGCTGCCCAGGTGTAGCGGCCCGGGGCGCCCCGCTGCGCGGGTGGGCGCTGCGCGGCGGCGGCCGTCGCTGGTTGGGCGCTCGGCGCCTGTCGCTGGGCGGCGTGAGAGCGGGCTGGCCCCGCCTCGGCCCGCGCCTCCGCCCGCCCAGGCACAGACATGACACAGACACACGGGCGCTGCAGCCGCCGCTGAGCCAGCCCGGGGCAGCGCGGCGGTGGGCGTGCGGCTCCCGGCACCCGCCGAGCGGCAGCGGCGGCCGCTCCCGGCTCCGCCTCGGCCCGCCGGGCGGGCAGCCGCGGCCCCGGCACTCGCAGGGGGCAGCCTGGCCCCGGGCGCCGGAGGGAGCCGGCGGGGGAAGGCTGACAGCGGGGAAGGGGCGGGAGGCGAGGAAGGAAGGAAGGGGAAGGGGGCAGCCTGGCACTCAGACTCGGGGGCGGTCTCCAGGCACGGGCACGGAGCGAACCCGGTCGGAGCGCGGCACCCAGCGGTCGCTGACTCCGGGCCGGCAGCAATAGCAGCGACCGCGGCGGTTCCGGAGGGAGCCTCTCCGTGCTCGGCTCCGCCGTGCCGGTGACCTTCCCGGAGCTGATCGCCAGGCCGGGGCAGGGCCTCCTCTCCCCGCGGAGAGTGTGCACCAGGCCCCGGGGAGCGGGCAGGAGGCTGGGCCGGAATCCCCCGTTGCCCCCGGGTCCTCCTGGCCGCCGGCGGGGCCTGTGCGCCGCGCGGTTCGCCGCCGGGGAGAGGGCGGGGGAAGGCGAGCGGGACGGACGGACGGACGCGGCCGGGCTGCACCTCGGGACAGCGCGGGGCGGGCAGGCCCCGGAGAGAGCTGAGCTGGGCGGCGGAGGAGGCGGCCACCTCGGCAGCGCATCCCGGGAAGAGTCGGGACTTCGCCACCGCCCTCCTCCTCCTCCCACCGCTAGCGGCTCCTCGTCCCGCGGAGAGTGGAGCTGCCTCTGCCGCCCCAGCTGGGAGCCGCTGGCTGACACCTCCGGAGCGCCGGGCTGCGGGGACGGAGCCGGAGCTACCCGCCTGGAGCGCAGGAGGGGGAAAGAGCGCTTGCTTGCTCGGAGCGGCTGGCGCTGAGCGCCCGGCCCGGGAGCCACCCGGGGAAGGTAAGCACCTTCTCGTCGAGTCTCTGCTGCTTTTGGAGGCGAGGGGCGGGGGAGGGCAAGAAACAATCGGTGAGTGTCTCCCTTCCAGCAGCCCGGGGAGGGGGCACCCGAGTCCGGAGGGCCGGGCTGGCAGCTTTATGTGCTGGATTTTAATCCCCGTCAGATCCGGAATTGAAGAGATGCTCAGGCGGAGGCGCGCGTGTCGCTTCCCGGCACAAAGGGGCACGTCCCCCCTGGCGAGGGAGGTTTCTCCGCTCCGCTCGCTGGCCCGGCGCCGCACGCCCTCTGCTCCGGCCGGGCTGCGCTCCGGCTCCAGCCCCGCTCCGGCTCCAGCCCCGCCGAGTGGCCGCTGCTCCGCGGCCGGGGGAGCCGGGGCTCCAGCCCCGCCGAGTGGCCGCTGCTCCGCGGCCGGGAGAGCCGGGGCTGGCGGCCGCGCCTCGGACGGAGGGAGTCGAGCCGCGGGGCGTGAGCGCTCTGCCCGCCCGAACGGGAGCCGGGGGCAGAGCCGGAGTTGGGCCGGGACGCTGAGTCGAGCAGGGTGATTTGCCCATCACCCGCCAGCCTCCCCTGCAAGCCTCCAGCCCGGGAAGTGCTCCTTTGGGAAAGCTTCTGCTATTACCTCCTATCCAAGAAGTGTGTCATTTAGATCATTAATCCCTGCGCACCGGGGGATGGGGGAAAATAGCAACTTGCGGCCCTGTGGAGGTGACGTGAAGTTTGACAATGCCTTATGTAACACTTTTTGGAGAGATTCCTAGTTTTTCTCCTGTGCCCAGTTTTAGCAAGCAAATGGTTTTTCTTCTTTGTAGAACATCAGACAAGCGATTTTTGTGTTTTCACCTGAGTACGGTGTCTCCTGCTTTGTTGAGCTTAGAACAGGGCTAGTGGTACACAGTATATAAAGACTACTTTTTCCCTACATGCATTTTTAAATGAAAATTAGCCAGTGGAGGCATTTGAATAGTTGTTAGACGGTCTTACCTTTTTCTGTATGTATTTCACATAGCACTCTTAAAAGTACGACAGGAAACATTTTTACAGCATTGATTGTCATGCATGTATTCTGGAATGTATGGATGCCACGTTGGAAATGGCAATAAATCACATGTCTTTTGAATATTCTTAGCTTTTTTTTTTGGACAGTATCAGTGCTGGAAAGACTGGAAAGACTAGAAAGCACAAGGCTAAACAAATGCTATGTTAAAATCAGACCTGGCAATTGCCAACAGGTTAGCATATTTTATTTAATGCTATCTGCTGGATACAGATTTAATTTTTTGTGTACAAAATATTTTAAAGTTGTTCAGAAGTAGAAGTAGAGGGAAATTTGATGAATGGGTTAAAATGTTGCCATAACCCTTACAGAAGTAAGGGGTTATGTCTTCTACCAGGGAAAAACCCCAAACCAAAAATAGAAAGCTGGCCTCACACACGAAAAGACAGAGTAGTGATTTGCCACATCTCTTCAGACTCCCACTGAGTCGCTAGGGGGACTGGCTTGGATGGGCTTCTTCTCCTCATTCAGTGGTGAAAATGCATAGACTGTTGTGATGATACCTATGAAATGTTCTTTTCTCTAGCCTTGTGGAGCTCCATCACAATACTCTAAGCTTAGAGGAGAAATCATATATAGAAACTTAGGTGATGAGTTAAGGGCAGGGGTCTTCTAACAAAGTCGTTTTGCTCCCTGCTGCAAAGGAGATAGACAATCAGAGGTTAGTTTACTTACAGGAATAGGACAAGTGAACAAAAAAACCTTACATTGAATGTCTTCACTGTGTTTCAGTATTTTAAAATGGAAAAAAGTGGAAGAGGTATCCCTGTGCTTCTTGAAAACTGGCAGTTGCTGGTAGGTATTCTGACTTTGAAATTTGAAATTCTTATCACTTAGGTGTCCTGTGACGGCCCTTGATCAGAAAGGCTGCAAGTCATGTAAGAGCCGCAGTAGCTGCAGAGTCTCTGATGGATAATTGGATTGGTAGGTTGGTTTTGGTTTTTTTTGTCTTTTAATTGCCTGCAGTAGTAGCTGGTGCCTGTTTTCCATCCTGTTGATGTTTAATTCTCATGATTTTTGGGTTATGTTGTGTGTGGCATCTTTTGTGTTTGAAGTATGTACCCTCTTCTCAGTTGCTGGTAGGTGAAGCATAGCTTGGAGGTATTTCACTGGCAGTATGGAGCAAGATACTTTTTTTTTAAATGTCTGAAATATACATGACAACTTATTTTCTTTGTTGTTTGGATGACGTGAGAAGATTGTAAGTTTTCTCAGGTCTGAAGAGATGTGCACTGGTTTTCTATAAAGGAGCACTGAAAATAGTATTACTTATATCTTGAGTTCTCTGTGCCAGCTACTCAGCCTGCAGAAATTCTGGAGTACAGTCCTCAGAAAGCTAAAGTGCAGAGCTGGAATGAATGACTGCATGCCTGTTGGAAACATTAAGATCTGTCAGAGGCTTGATCTGAAATTTCAGTGCATAGGACTTTAATATTAGTAAAAGTAGTATTGCTTCTGAATTAATTATTTTAGAAAACTGTAAAATTAGGCATCTCCCAAGTGCACTTAACTCACTGAACTGAAGTGTTCTTAAAAACAATGATTTTGAACTCATGAGACTACTTTCTGCTCAAATGTGTGGCTTTTGTTTTTACCTGGGATAAACAATCAGTTGTTAATAGACCCTTACTGGAATAGTCTCCTCTTTTATCCTTTGATTATTTTAAAGTTTTTATGTGGCCTTATAAGAGCAATCTTAAAAAACAAACACAGACACAAAACCAACAAAAAACAAGCTTTTTTTTTTGCCTGATGTTTATAAAGGCTTATAATTGGTAAAACTCATAATCTGACTACAGAGTCTTTGCACTGTATGCTAAACTGTCCCTATATGCAAACTCATATTGATATTGATGGAAGTGTTTATCTAGATCCTGAACAGCAATTAATTTTTTTAAAAATGTGTGTCTATCCTTTTTCCCTGTCTTGTATGAAAGCCTATGTTAATGAGCTCTTGTCAGCTTTGAAGACTTTTCATCATCTTTATTAGAATAAATCAACAAAATGTCTGTTTTAAGGATACGAGATTTCTGGTGTATCTTCTCCTGTAATGTGTCTGTGCTGATAATGTTAAGATTCATCTCAGAAGAGAATATAATGGTCAGTACAAATTTGCAGTTGGTTATTCTTCATGAGTGTGTCTCCATTCTCTTCAGAGTTGGCTCTGTTGGTTATTTGCCTAATGCTGTGACTAAAGAACTTTCTCAAAAGTAGTTTTGTGTGAGGAAATGTACACAATGTGCATTGCACATGTCCATTGCAAGGAAATGTACACACGTGTCCCTCGCACTGTTTTTGCTCTGTTGTCTGGGTTTGGCTCATCTTCCTTTTGGTAGTGAATGCTAACTTTAGAAAACAACCATTGTTGATTAATGCTGGCCTTAAAAACAGTCATTGTTCATTATGCCACACTTGGCATAATTTAAGAGCTGGAGAGTCAGAACTACCTCAAGGAAGATATTTTTACTTTTTTTTAATTTCCTTTCATTGAATCACTAATTTTTGTCTTCCTTGTGGTACACCCACTTGAAGATAAAGGTTAAGAAATGGGGGTTGTGCCTTGTAGGGATGCATTACTCTATTGGTGTTGCTTGATTCAGTATTTGAAGGTCTTGTATTTGTCAGAGCTTGTTCAGTGCATGGCTATAGAAAGGGAGCAGCAGATAAGAAATTCTATTTTATTTGGAAGTTGGTAGCTCAGAAATCAAGGAGAAAATTGCTAGAAAGGATTATCCTGGCCTTGGCACTGACTTTGAAGAAATTTGCCAAGTCTGGAATCCTTGTTTAAGTGCCATCTGTGTCAGAATTAGAAGCAAACTGTGCAAAATAGTTCCATTACTCATACTAATTTGCAGATCTGACCAGGTCTGATAATGTTTATAGTAGTATCCACATCACCTTCTTTCTCAGCTTTCGCTAATATTTCCACAACACGGGGTTAACTGGGTAGAAGCTACACTTAAAATTATTGAAAAGAGCCCCAGCAATGTCCAGCCTGTACTGTAGCAAAAAGTCAGATCTGATCATGTAACCCTAGTGGTGGAAGAAGTTGGAAATCTCAGCTGGTGCAGGCAGAGTGCAGCCTTCATTCCTAATCCCCATGTAAGATAGGTATGCCTGAGAATAATAAAAAGAAATAGATTCTTTTTTAAGGCTGGAGTTCCCTGTCCTCGTGGCTCTGGTTGCTTGACTAGTGAATGCTAGAAGAGAGGTGCCATCACCACTCTACTCTTCTCCCATGCATTTTTGTGTATTGATAAGTCATTTCTGTTACTCCATGTCTATACCAATTTTTAATCCTCAGGGAATAGTTGCACATGATGACCAAGACTATATGTGCTGGCTGACAGGCAGCTTGTCAAGGGTCAGATCAAGGAAGAGTGGCTTGATTTTCTGTTTTCCCAGAAATCTGTGAAAATTAGAGAAATCATAGCAATTTCTCATCTGCTGTTGTTTGACCAAACTGCCACTAGCAGTGGTAACACCAGAACCAGAGCTTTCTTAAATAAGGACACCACCCATGTCAGTGTTAACCTGCTTTCACTCAGCTGTGCTGAGAGTTACATGTGTTAAGAAAACATGTGTTAAGGAAAAAAAAAAAAAATAGCAATCCTCTGCTTCCTTCACAAGAAATGTTCTGCTGCTTAAAACTTCCAGGGAAGGTTAGTTGTTGACATGCATCTCTCAATAGCTCCTCTACAGTTTATCCCAGAATGAAATATTGGGATATTTCAGAGTAGCAACATTTCATTTCTACCATTAGCTTTTAGATTTTATTTACTGATAGGCACTTGGCAGCTAAGACTTAAGACTTGGAGAAAACTAGAAATTGTTACTGAGGAATCTTCATTTAAATACAAAGAATGAAGGATTTTGTTTTAGCAGGAGACAAGAGAAAGGGGAGAGAAATGATGGGAAGGAGTTGTAGAGTTTTATTTATTAACTGAAATATGAAACTGCTTACAATTTATAGATGGATTTTGGAATGAATTTAAGTTGTTAGCTTGGAGAACTGAGTATTTCTTATTGTGGAATGTCAAGTGTCACTGAATGGTGGAGTGGGGTGAGCAAGAAGAATTGAGAACTAGTCAAGTGAGGTGATGTTTTCAGTTGATACTTAGATTTCTCAATCCATCTTCTTCTGGTGAGGTTTCATTGTCTCCCTCTTTCTGATTTCCCTGCTGTGCCCCTGAACCCCTCAGTACGAAATTCTCTTGGTGATTGTTTTCCCTTCTGTCTTCAGTTAGTGCTGCTTCTAATCAGTATTGCAAATGGAATTTTATGTTTAAAAATTAGTGGACTTCACTGTATGAATCTGCTTAATTCAATATTTTTCATGCCAAAGGTTCTAGAAAGGTGTATGCCATTGGATAGAAATAAGAAATAAAACCCTATAATTTTAGCATTATTAAATACCCAAATGTATGATGTTGTTCTTAATAATATTAGCTTTCATTGTTTTGTTAGCAGAAGGGATGCATGAGGCTTCCTGGTATTTTTATATAAAATGAACTGACATTCACCTTGAGGCTCTTCAAGCAGTAGCTAAATTCTGTATTTCTGTAGTCTCATCGTTTTTCAGTCCTAAGACAGGTTCTAGAATGTGACTCAGATTTAAACCTGTAGGTTGTCATTCATGTAAGACAAATTTTCAAAGATAAAATATTGACTGGCATGCTTGGGAATTCTGAAATGAGATAAAGATGGTTCCTACTGCTTTGAAAAGGTGAAATTGTCTGTGTTTTTGGATTCTTCCATATTGAGCATACTGTACAATTAGATGCTTTTTTATCAAAGTAGAGAATTGGAGCATTGAAGTAGGTGAGGTCCCTGTAAAGGTGGACATGTTTTTGTTGCTGTTATTGGAAAGTTATAACTTACATTCTTGATCTTGATATTCTAGAACTCTTTAATAGCAACTGCATTATGAGAAATCTGTTCCTCTTCTGAGGAACTATTCCAAGTAGTAGAAATCGGTAGGTGATGATGTTGTGAACCATTTTTAGTACTAGAAGAGCTGCATGTTGGCCTTAACTTCCACAAAGCAAAAATGATCAGTTTAAGAAATGGTAGAAACTTTTAGTTGGTGATGTCTTCCTCCTTGAGATTTGTGTTGTCAAGATGGAGGTGCTACAAATGAAGAAAGAAGGGGAAAAAATCAGTGCTGATAGTGAGTGTATTGGACTATGGGATGTGCTAGTGGCTAAGCCAAACCATTTGGTGATGAGCAGGAACTTTGAGAAAGAAGAAATGTGTATGGGAATAAATTCTCATTGTTCCATAGTTGCTCTCAGACCTCAGATGTGAAGAAGGGAGTATAGCCACAGTAGCTTAAATTCCTACCTTTCCTTCCAAACATTACAGTCTGCCTGCCTTTTCCCTTGTTCCCACTATAATGCTACTGCAGCTTAAAGGCTGCTAGATTAAAATAGTAGCTTCTAGCAAATTCTGAGGTCATTCAGTCTTTCACTGTTCAGGTTAGCCATGTAATCCTTCATTGCTGGAACACTTCCTTTCCACCTGAAGTCCTTGCTTTGGGAATGATTCCTGCACAGCCAAAATCAGGATGCTTTCCAGCTAGTTTGGAGAGTGGAGAACCCTGCATACTAATGTCTTGCAATATGGTTGTCAGTTTTGGGATTTACATTTCTACTGTTGCTATCCGGAGTCTTGCCCCTTGCTTTTGTGTGCTGTGCTGGGGAAGTTTGACTTAAAATCTCAACTTAGTCATACTGCCAGTTTCCACTACTCTCAGCCTGGCACCTGAGGTATATCCAACTGCATCATATACTAAAAGCATCTGAGGTGCTTTTTAGTAAGCTTAGATCTTGATTTGTATTACTGTTGCAATGTGAATTAACTGTGCACAGTTGGTGAATGGGTTGAGAAGAAATATGTTCCTAACATTTATTCTTTATTAAGAT